GTCCGTCCATCCGTCGTCAACACTTTGGACAATAACTCAAAAATGCTTTCACCAATTTCCATGAAACGTTTATGCCGTTAACTTCCTTTGTGATGTTAATAAATTTTAGATTAATGGAATCTCATTGAAAATAATGGGTTATTATCCAGTTTCAAAAATGTTTTGAGCAATTTTAATACAACTCTGCTGAAATGTTTATATGTTGACATATGAACCCTTTCGATTAAAAAAAAGATGTAGATTTTTATGTTTAGGAGTATTGGGGCTTTATTCGTAAAAAGGAGGGATTTTCCATTTTTCGGACAATAACTCAAAAATGTTCTTAGCAGTTTTCATAAACCTTTGATAACTTTTTCTATCTATTGATATAAGCTTCTTTTTTTATTGATTTCTTACATGATGTTGTAGCGTTATGAAACTGTATTCGTAGAAAAATCATCGAAAATCACAGTAATTTTTATTGTTCATGTAAATTCATTTAAACCATACAGACGAGATAAAGGCCAACGGGCATATCATGCGCTGATGGTGGATGTGATTATTATAGTGTATCACGGTCCCTTGTTAGATGGAAGGTTGACCGCTCTTATTGTGTTTGTTTGATTTGATTTGAATTTGTCATGTCCGGGTCATTTAAAGCTTGCTATGTGGTATAGGTTTGCTCATTTAGGTATGGTGACCAAAAGTTACTTTTTCTACTGCATTTACTCTCTGGGAAAGACTCGTGTCATTGGAAATCATGCCAAATCTTCTAGATTTTAATAAATGTGTCCGGCATGAAATTTTTAGTAATAAACTTCGTTAATGTAATTTCCGATGTGTCGTAGACCTAATGATCAAAGTTCTGCGTAAATTTCAGAAACAGAAGAACTTTCACATCGTAAAGAGAAAATAATGAAAATAGAAACTGAGCAGAAGGAAGTGATACCAAAAAATATTAGAGGTATATTATTAGTTCATTTACTCTGATATTTTATTTCTTGACAAAAAAAATTAGGAATGATAATAGATAGAATTATCAGTTTTAGCTGAATATTTTATAATGGTTTAAACTCTTAAAACGGATGACATTTGCTTTCAGAATGGACATGATTTTTATGGGAAGAAAACTTTCAAGTGTTCTGAAATCCTCTACGGCTGACTATTTCTTAAATTGTTGAACCGTGTCCACGAGTGTTGCCATGTCCCTTTCTGTGCTTTACAACTATATAACTTGCATGCATCATCTCGACGCCGATTACATGTACAAATATGGCATCACTTCAAACATCCAAGTGATTTGTAGAGAAATTCCGGTTCGTATTAGGTTTGCATCTAATTTTTGCATTATAGTGAATACATTGTTATCCTCGTATTATGAGTAATAGTATAATCATATATGGTATATCCAATGCATGCTCGGTCGACAAGTCCCTAAGACGGGATTTTTCTGACCTTTTAAATCATTTTCAAATTTCAATGTGTCTCAGCTGCTATTAGCAATTGGTCAACTAATTGTTTGAATAGAATGATTGTAAGGTGTACATGTCTGTCTGTCAGTATTCTTTGACCTTAGCCTCATTTAAAAGGATTCTTGATAATGTTTTGTTTACATGATATTTGTTGTAACACCTTCATCTTAAAGCCGTTCATCATAAATACAATGATCATCTGTTAAACAGGCGAGACAATTTAGCCAGTTCACTCTTGTTATCATATCAAGACCAGATCTTTGTATGTCTCCTTTTATGTGTATATGTAAGATTGTGAAAATCACCCTATAGTACGGTGACAAGTAGGTAAATTTATAGGACCGAAATACATCAAGACTATTTCTTGTAATACTTTAAGGATAAATATAATTCCCTTTGATCGAGACCTGTTGTAGAGTGCCATACATGTCATAACGGTGCAGATTAATTTTTTGAACCCTCATGATAAATGTGAAACATTTTCTATGTAAGCAAATTCTGTGAATGTTGTGCAAATTCAGCTGGTGATAGTAATACATATTTGCCAGCGATTAGTGCCAGATACATCCATTTCCGACAAAAAAAAATAAGAAAACCAATATAGTTATCAACGGGAATTTTCAACAGAAATTATTTACATTTTAATAGCTAAGCAATAATATATAAAAACCTAGTAAGATATTTTCATGAAGCTTTTGTTAACATGCAGTATTCTTCCCTTAGTTTATTTATTTTGTATTTACATTGTATTATAGGTCAAATTTATTTGTTCAGTGTATGTTCACTGGTGTTAATATGTCTTTTGATTGAGTTAAGCCATTTCAATTGATATTTTATAGTGTGTCTTTCTATGTTGTGATGTTACACTATTGTTTCAGATAAGGGTGAAGGTTTGGTACCATTAAAAACGTTTAAATCCGCTACAATTGTTTGCACCTGTCCTTAGTCAGGAATCTGATGTTCAGTAGTTGTGTTGAAGACCGTACTTTGACCTATAATGGTTTACTTTTATAAATTTTGACTTGGATGGAGAGTTGTCTCATTGGCACTCATACCACATCTTCTTATATCTAAGTTATATATTACAACATAGAAAGATATTTTTAGAAAGGTTTTGTTATGATGACGTTAAACACAAAGAAGAAATGAATACTGATGATTTCATTATTGGCTATTAAACCAAAAGACTGTTGGAAGTATAATACAACGCATTGATGCAGACATGTCAGCCTGAATACGATATAATATGACGTTTCAATGTAAATAGGTCAATCAATACAAGAGCAATAGCATATTGAAAACTTGTGTCCCTCTTTTCATAAAACATCAAATCCAACGGAATATGTAGCAGACTTTTGACTTAAACCGATTATAAAGCACGGCATATGTTTGAATTACAAATACACACGAGTCACATGTACAGATTACGATACTAATGAAAGACCACCAAATAAGTTGTTTTCGTTCTTTGTTTCTGGGGAAGGAGGTCAGTGGGGGGAGGGGGGGGGGGGGTTGCTCCTTAACCACTTTAGATCAGAGTCCAATAACAGCAAAAAAAATGAAATATTCGGCATTGAGAGAAATAGTTTAATCATTATCCTCATCGCTGCAATCTTCTGAAACAGTCTAATGAGTAATGCAATCTTCTGAAACAGTCTTATGAGTAAGCTGGTTTCTACAATCATCACTCTCCTATCAACAACAAATGCTGGCGAACAACAACTTCTGTTCATAGCATACTCAAGATTTGCTATACATAGTTTTGCCTTTGTATATGCTAACAAGGTCCTGTAAAAAGGAATTCTGGAACTATGGAGCTTTTTTCTATTTTTTATCCATTTGCTTCAGGTGATCTGTATTGTCGTTTAGGAAATTTGAGAATTCATTTAGAGATGCACTTGGAGTAAAACTAGATGAACGTGTTGTATGAATATTGCCTCTGAAGAAAGTAGTCGCACTAAGGAAGCATCCGTAGAGAGCGCTAACTTTACTCTGAGTTAATTGAAATCACCTCATACTAATTGAACCTTGCAATAAGGATCATATAGATCAGCGATGAATTGTCTGCCCACTTCAACAGATATGTCAATATCAGAACCAGCTAGATTTGACAATCTTTGATACCTGTATGGGTTATGTTTTAATACATTTGAACATATATTGGATGAGTGGTGTGTTAACAATTCTCTGACCTTATGATTTCACGATTAGTTGAACTTGTCAGAAATTCTTTTAGTTCAGTGTATATTGCACAAAAGCCATATGAACGTAAATTTTCAATAAGGTTTGTCAAACCATATACATGATCCATCTGAAGAGCCCATTTAAGTTAAAGGGATGTACTGATTTTATGAAGGGCTATCACACACTCATCTAACGCAATACAAGTCATACATAATCAAATGAGAGTGCATTGTATTTTCCATATAAAAACATCAAGTTAGTTGTTAAGTTTAACCAGGCATGCAATTTTATCAAAGAGGCAGGTGTAGATTATACAGAAACTTCTAATGGAGATGAATAGTATCATTTGAAATGTCGGAACGATTGTAAACTGCTTTTCAAAATGTTTGCAGCATCATGAAAAGTCTTATCAGCTTTGGGGCACAAAATCATTTACAAAACTTGTTTCTAACTCTTAAGAATACTGCTTTCAAATCACTGGACTGAAACACTGATTGAGCTACTGAAAATCATATATATGATCTACCCTGTCATCTCTACGTCTGAACAACATTGCATCACTATAGTGCTTTAGTCAAGCAGTTGTATATTTACGCACTTACTCTTCTAAGAGATGGGACTATTTTTTCGAATTTATTTGGCTCTGTTCCAATATTTGAAATTTAGAATAATAAGAAAAAAAAACATCAAAAGTCAGTGGAAAATAAGACTTATTAAGGGGAATATTGAATAGTAAATAAGGGCAACAGTGGTATTCCGCTGTTTAAAACTGATACATAATAAGTATTATAAAAGGCCATTGAAAGTTGATTTGTATATTCTGTAAACCTTTGATATATCAAAATTTCATGCGTTTCGTTCATAGTTCTAGTGTTATATCCCTTTATAAATGGGACTTTTACTTTACTTTGCCTCAGCCAAATCTTTTTTGAATTATATCACTAATTTCATATCAAAAACAAATTTGAGTGACGTCATTTTCACTGTTCACGAGTTGTTTCCCTTTTTTGATTGAAAAAATTGCTGAATATGCCGTATATGTACAAGCAGGGGCATTTGTATCACATGGACACATTCTTATTTGATTTAATGCTAACATATTAGGAAAATTTGACATACACATGCAAATTTGCATGTAGTCATCGCAGTAGGCCAAACCTTTTTCTTTAGACTTTTGACTTACGACATATGGTTTGAAGGTTGATAACTTTCTCACGATGTTGTATATTGCTATAACCTTTTTGTGTCATTTACCTTTGACCTTATGTCAAATAAATTGATTTTATGGAACATTTTTATGTCCGGTTTTCCAAATTTAGTATAAACCATGCCATTTGATATTCTTTTAAATGATTTTACATTGTTTGACTTCCTTGCTCATTACTTTGGTCAGAAAATGATTGAATGTTTAATAGACCATGGTGATAGTGATTTAGTACATGAACGCTTCATGTGGAGGAAGTCACCAGATGACAAGAACAGTAACATAGACTTCATTATTGAAATACCAGAAGAATATTTTGAATTATATTTAGAAAGGTTTATAAAGGACTGGTCAGCAGGAAACGTGAGAGTTATATTCGAAAATAACAATATGAAAATACCATTATTTAGACAACAGCTATTACAGCACTTAAAACAACTGGACAAATCACAGCAAGAAACTTATGCCAGTGCCAATGATACAGTGTTACCAAAAGGGCACCAGGGATCAGGTGATACCCCACTGATAAGAGCTTGTTATCATGGTTATACTGATATGGTACAGTGGATGTTCCAAAATGATGTGGATGTGAATCAATCTGGAAACGATGGGGTTACTGGACTGTTCATTGCAAGTCAGAACGGACATACTGATATAGTAATGATGTTGTTAGAGAGGAATCCTAACATTGATCTATGTCGAAAGGATGGCTGTAGTCCTCTGCTCTTGGCAAATCAAAACGGACATACAGATATAGTAAGGTTGCTATTAGAGAGAAATCCTAACATTGATCTATGTAGCAAGAGAACTGGCTGCAGACCTTTGTATTATGCAAGCAAGAATGGACATACTGAAATAGTAAAGTTGTTGTTAGAGAGAAATCCTAATATTGATCTATGTCAAAATGATGGATGTAGTCCTCTGAACATTGCAAGTCAGAACGGACACACTGATATAGTAAAGTTTTTGTTAGAGAGGAATCCTAACATTGATCTATGTCGCAATGATGGATGTAGTCCTCTGTGCATGGCAAGTCAGAATGGACATACTGAAATAGTAAATTTGTTGTTAGAGAAGAATCCTAATATTGATATATGTGACGAAAATGGCTGGAGTCCATTGAGACAGGGAAGTGAGAATGGACATACTGAAATAGTAAAGTTGTTGTTAGAGAGGAATCCTAACGTTGATCTTTGTGACAATGAAGGCCGGAGTCCACTGTACATAGCAAGTTGGGAAGGACATACTGATATAGTAAGGTTGCTGTTAGAGAGGAATCCTAACGTTGATATTTGTGACAATGAAGGCCGGAGTCCACTGTACATAGCAAGTCGGGAAGGACATACTGATATAGTGTGGTTACTATTAGATATAGGAAGAATTGGTATCTATTATGTTGATTTATCTGACATTCATGGTTTGTAGTCCTCTGAACAACAATGGAACAAAGCAAGACAGCAAGGACATACTGATATAGTAAGATGACTTTTACAGAAGAAGCCCTATGATGGTCTATGTGAGAATTGACTTTTTCAAATATATTGTTTTTGTTTGTTTTTTTTTTTGGTCTATTGCTTTTCATCTGATGACTTTTGTCTTTGTTTAATATCTACTGCTTTTCATTCCATTTTGTCTTTCTCTGTTTTATATATCTTGGTTTTCATCCCAATACTTCTTTCTCTGTTTGAAAGCTACTATTAGTCATGCCAATACCTTTGCCTTTATTTGATATTAATGGCTTTTCATTCCATTACTCCTATCTGTCTCTATTTGATATTTACTGCTATTAATTAATGTAATTCCATTGCATCTTTCTCATATCATTTATTTTGCCTCTGTTTAATATCTACCTCTATTCATTTCAGTATTTCTTTCCCTGTTTGATGTCTACTTCTATCTGCTCAATTACTAATATCTCTAAAAAAAAACATCATGGTTACAAAACACATGCAGTATAGGTTCAAATTACATAGATATTTCTACTCTTCACCAGGAACGTAACGTACTTAATGTTGATATGTGATAAAACCATTATGTTGTTCTAATTTCTTCTATGTTTTCTTAAGTCACATTTCTTTCGACTTGATTTCATCACAAGGAACATAAGAGATATTAATTTTGATGTGCAGTAAAAACCACTCCATTAATTCTAACGAATATATCTTTACTCAAACCATTACAGATTGCATTGAACAGAAGAGACATAGTTTATTCAACTGTAATTCAGTTGTTGTCGTTTGTTGCAGTATATCATAATTGTTGTTCGTTTACTCTTTTGTACATTTATCAGACCGTTAGTTTTCTTGTTTGAATTTTATGACGTTTGTCATTTCGGTGCCGTTTACAATGTGGTATGGGTTTTGATCATTGTTGAAGGCTGTACAGGGACAAACAGTTTCTGACCTTCTGTAGTGCATTTCTAATAAATTGAACGCGTATCAAAAACCCACTTGTCTTATGAGACCTCTGTTTTGCTATCACTAAAAGTGTTCTCTTAAAAGAATTTTCACTGCATTTTCATTCTGAAGATTACTTTTTATACTGAATGTTTTCAGATTGGATTACACTACATACATATGCACCACTATCTTATGGATATTATTCTGTTATTTTATTTGTTGGTTTGTTAAAATTGCTGTTTATTTGGAGTTCGTGGTAGTCATAATTTTTCATATTGTCATTTTAGTATATTGTGTTTTGTGTAATTGCTATCCATGTTGATTTTTGTTTTAACTCTACATTTTGTACATGATACTGTTGTAAATTAAGTTTACAAATTCTGTTAGCATTACTTATGTTGTTGGATTATTTACTAAATGGGGCGTGTGAATAGGACTCTTTCTTCATATTGTCATTTTATGATATATAATTTTTTTCCTATCAATGTTAATTCCCATTATTCTACTGTACATTGTGTACATAATATTTGTGTTGTTTATGTTACTTGTATATAAATGTTTATGACTTCACAATGTATAGTTTGTCTATCACAGAAAAAGTCATGTTCATTTGTATTAATAATGTTCGCTCTTTTGTTTAAAAACAGCAAGCTTGTGAAAATACTGTAAGACAGTTATATGTTGACAGTATATTTAAATAACTTCAAAAGCAGAACGAAAAAGTCATGAGAAAGTCCTTGTCCTCGTTTTCATGATATAATGTATTGAAAATTTTATGGGGAATGATTCTCTCTAATTCTTTTTTATACAATTGGTATTTAATCTTTCAAAAATTATGAAACAATAAATTTATTTTACTGTAAAATATAAAATGATTCTGTTTTAATTTTCTAGAATCAATTAAGAATCTATGCGACCGCTTCTTACCCTTTTGCAAACATGTAATTGTAATTGTAATCATCCATATGATTTATGTGTTTGAACTTTTGATTTTGCCAATGGATTGTTAAATTTCCGTTTTCAATTTTCCTTGGAGTTTTGTCATTTTACTTTTTGGTATTAAATAATAATTTTGAAATGTATTGATATATAAGCTGAGTTAGCTCCTCTTTGTGAAAGCTATTTTGTTTCTTTACAGATTAAGTAAAAATGTAATGTTTTTTTTGAAATAAGATTGTTTGGTAACCTAAGGGAATTTATGTTGTAAATAGTGGGATTTAAAAAAGAAGTAGTCCATCCGTTTTTGATGATTGGCTAAAACTGATTGGCAGTGATTTATTTCGCCTTGATGATCATTACTATTTTGTTATTATGAATGATATATACTGTTATAAGGAAGTGATTTCTTTAAAAAGGAATGTTCAAGATATTTAGAGTATTTTTTTTTGTTGAGATTTCAGTGTAATTTTAAAGAAATGTATGCAACAGTTTTTACTCTTTTTGCAAACTGTCAAAACAAAATTTTGTTTTAATTTCGGAGATGAAGAATTTGATTATATTTTCTGTAATTGTAATCAACCAAGTGTTGGTCTTTAAAAAAAGTGATTTGAATCCAAAACATTGTAAAGGGCTGATTGAGAAGTAAGATACTGGATTAGGAACTGCAAAATAACATTATCATTATTATATAAAAGAAGTTCTATGTAAATAATTAAAAAAAAAGTTCACTCCTTTATTTCCAAATAACCAGCTTTTTATAAACTGTTATCAATTGATAAAATATAAATAAGGGATTTTGAAAGGTAAAAAAAAGTCCGTATCCTAGTTTTTGAGATATAATCATTTGAAAATGTGGCTGGAAATGATTTTCACTAGATGTTTCATTCATTTTACATTGGCACCATATTTACAAAAACTATGAAACAAATATAAAGGATTTTATAAGATTTTCAAAAATAGCCCTTTAAGCTATATGCAATACATTTTTTAAAAGATAAGTAGGCGTTAGCTGGCAAATGATTTATTGACGATGCATGGATATAGCTTAAGGATTCCGAATATCTAACATTGTTTACATGGATTGTACATATGCATATAATTATTTGGATGTTGAAATAATTATAAAATTTAAAATAGAAAATGTGTTTGTTGTGATATATTTAATGGTAACCACCCCATCGTGACCAAACTTTGATCACCCTCTAGTGAACAACTATCTTTATGATATGTCAGCTAACCGACCCCCTGCAGTGAACCAAGGGATGAAGGTCAAAGTGCATGCTTATATGTACTTCATCCTTGTCAAATCAAAATTATAAGACGTTGTATGACTGTCAAAGAGACAATTGACATAGATTTTTGGAAATGTAAGGCATTGTCTGTTAGAGAGGAGACCCAGTTATCTAAGAATTTCTGTCATTTTATCAATACAGTACAAAGGCTGATATGGTTTTGAGTAAGTATTTCGAATTTGTTTAATTCCAAGTCAGGAGTACATTTTGACATTTAATGCCTTATTTATCAAATGAATATCATATGGAGATATGCCCCCTTCCTCTGGAAGTCAAAAATCTTCTTTTAAAGTCAACCTCAAATTGTTCCCCTGACGATCTTATCTTGATATATCACCTTTCGTCTAAAGTCAGAATGTAATGTAATACTCAATCCCCAATTGTCCCTCCTCTGATCGTCTGAAGACTTATCGCCCTTCTTCTACAAGTCAGGAGTGTAATTTGACAAACATTCAAAATCAATATATTGTTTATAAGACGATCGTGTGAAGATATACCAACCTACCAATAAAATTTAGAATGTAATGTAATACTTAATCCCAAGTTGTTCCTCCGACGATCGTCTGAAGAATTATCGCCCTCCTTCTAGAAGTCAGGAGTGTAATTTGACAAACATTCATAATCAATATATAGTTTATATGACGATCGTGTGAAGATATACCATACTACCTCTAAAATTCAGTAGTTTAAAGTGACAGTCAATCCCGAAATTCTAGTATTTTCCTGACGATTTTGTGAAAGGACACTTCATTTTCACTGAAAGTCAATCCTGTAAGATGATAGTCAGTCTTCAATTGTCCCTATGAAAATAATGAATAGAAACACCGCCCTCCAACTTCAAGTCAGAGGTATGAGGTGACAGTCAATCGACAATTGTTCCAAGGACGATCGTTTAGTTAGATACCGCCATCCCTTAAAAGACTGGAGCGTAATATGATTGTGCATCCTCTGACGATCGTATGAAAAGACACGTACCTAATTATTCTGGTCAGTGATCTAATGCGACAGTCTAACCACAAGTAATGCCATAAAGATCGCGTGAAAAGATACTGCCCTCACCTTACAAGATTAAAAGCAAGGCAAAATTATTAATCCATGACGATCGGGTGAAAAGACATAAACCTTAACTTTATACAAGTCAGGGTTTTACTGTGGCAGTTAACCACTTGTCATGCACATGAAGATCGGATAAAGAGACAATACCCGCTCACTACAATTCAAAGGTATAATATAATAGTCAGTCCACAACAGCGTCCTTAACAATCGGATGAAGGGACACCACCCTGCCCCCTATAGTCAGAGGTGTAACGTTACAGTCTGTCCCAAATCATTCCTCTGCCAATCGGGTGAAGAGACAGCACCCTCTCCAACAAATTCCAGGTGTAATGTTAAAGCAAATCCCCTGACGATCTCGAGATAAAAAAAATACCACCTTCCCTTAAAAAGAAAGAAAACATATTTTATAAATACAAAAATAATATCATGTACGAAAAAATAATAACCAGTGTCTATGAACATTGATTTTGTTCAGAACATAAACTTATTAATTTGTCAATAGCTTAACATTCATTTGAAAATCCCTGGTTGTACGTTGTGCGTTGAGCAAGTCTATTTATTTTTCAGATCTTTTAAAATTGTTGATATAAACAAGAGTAAAAATACACATTAATTGAGCAAACCTTCAATGTGAGCTCATCATGTCGAAAAAACGTCAATATCGGTAGCCATGTAGTGCCTTTTATATATAATCATGAGGAACACACTTTATTGTGAGAATCCTTGTTTATTTCTACGTAGATCTCGCTTTTACGAACAAACTTCAATACCGGAAGCCATGAAGTGGTATGTAGTCCAGATCTAGAGCTCATTTGACGAAT